ATGAAAAAAAAACTGGGCAGAGTGATTTTTAGAAATTAATTAAAGGCTCAGGTGTTTTCTTTAATAGCTCAATCCCGGTGCGGCCTATAAACGTCCTTCCCATTGTCATTGCTAATATTATTTAAGAGGAAATCTAAAAAAAAAGTAAGAAAAGACGCCGCCGCGGCAGGTAACAAAGATGTTCTGAAAGACCGACCTTTTATCTTTCGTGTTCGCTGAGGTGATTTTATTGCTTTCTATATATGAAAAAAAAACATCACCGTCAGCCGCGATCATTCCACAGATTCTGACCTTTCTTGACATCAATTTTCCTACCTTTGTAAATGTGCTTCTGTGTTGGAATCGGAATAAAGGAACAGGTGGAAAATATTTCAAATTACTTATAAAATTACCATTTTGATTCATATATTTCAGTTTATACCTGCTGCAACAAACTAGTTATAAAAAGTTTAAGTGGCAAAAAATTGTATTAAAAAGAAAAAATCTAAAATTGCAGCGTTAGAGATTAAATTTAAAGTTAATTGAAAGTACTGTTTATATAGAAAAATTGTGCTCACACCCCCTTATACATTTTTGGAATTCGCTATGCAATTCCCTTATAGTATAATTAATCTTCTGCTTATTTTCTTCACCAATCATATAAATAATTTGAAATTCATAAATTTGAACTCATCCCATAACCATAGCATAAAATAAAAGAGTCACAAGTAAAAAGTTCTAACGAACAATGTAAAATTCAATCATGGATCGGAATACATTTATACAATTTTTATTTATGAAATAGTAACAAATACTTTAAAAGCGTTGTAAACATACAAATGCAAAATAAAATAAGGAATTTAAATTACAAAATCGAATATTTAATTTTTTTCGTTCAAAAATATAAAAAATATAATATTATAGTTTATACTTATATATTCTACAAAAGTATAAAATAATATTTAATTTTTAAGGTAAACTTTAATTACCATATAGAATTGTAGTTTTTCTTAACTTTCAAATCTCGCAGCATAATAAGGTCGATCACCCTTTTCTATGTGCCTCACAAAAAAGTGTCAATAGTTCTTATACGTTTTCTCATCTATGTAAGCAGAATACATTAAAACTTTATTACGTGGTGATACCCATCTCTGCGTTGGAGAGACGGCCTAGAAAAACGTGTGGACGGTTGGCGTCGCCAGAGAATAATGCAATTTCCCAGAATCGCAGCCGTGCCAATAATTGCCTGTGTGTTTGCAGGTGTCTCTTAATTCTCACAAAGGGCGAATCAACAACACATCCCGCTCGCGTTTCATTACTTTATATATATTTTTTTCGTCAGTTCAGTAAAAAATATACCAAAGCAGTGACCACAAAGTTGCCCAAACCGAGGTCGCGCGTGAATCCATCAGGAGGAAACCTTTAAAGCTCTCTGCGCTAATTATGATTGAGCGGCGATTCGTGATTGCTCGCACGGTATGACCCTCGGCGCGGAGGTATAATAAAGAAAGGTTCAATCAGCGCCTTTGTCTGTGTCGTAAAAGCAGGCGGGCGGCGGAAACGAATTTTGAACGCGGATAATTCGATCGCGTGCAATAAGCAATTGGCCGGCCCATCTCGTCGCTAAACGAGCAAAGGAAACCAGCCTGCTCTTTTTATTATACTCGCCGAGTTTGTGGCGGTCATTTTTTTATGCACGCCACTTTTGACGGACTGGCGGCACCGAGATGGATGGGCGGGCTGCTGAAATTGCCGCGTTGATTTTTTCCAAAAGAATTAGAGCCCTTCCTTGAAGACGAGAGAAGTTGCTGGCGTCGTACACGGCCGCCGGCGCCTTTGGCTTTGGGGTTGGCGTCGGCGGCTCCGGTTTTTCTTGCTAATTAGAAACAGCATCGCATAGGCTATGCTGGACCAACCCCTTTCCAAAGTTCTGCAAAGGAGTTGTTTCCAGAAAGTGTAATTATATAAAATTTAATAGTTTACATTAAAACAATGTACAGTAGAATATTATAACATGTTAAATTTTAAAAATAAATTTTTTAATCAACTACATAATTATTTTTTTTAATATTATATTAAAAAATGAATATTTTTTTTTATAATTTTGTGGTTTGAACAGTAATTTTTTATTTTATATAATAAAATAAATGTTAAATGGTAATTTTAAAATTTTAAAATTATATTTATATGATCAAATAATTATTTATTATTTATAATGATATCACAATATTTTATAATATTGGTGTTTTAAAAAATATTAAGGTTGAAAATACACTCTCTAGTCTCTAATGCTTTATATCAATGCAATCCTCAATTTTGGAATTAAAATACCTTTTAGAACAACACTGACTTCTAAAATGACGTATGCAACAAAAATGTGTGTTATTTTTATTTTAATATCACGCCGCGCATTGACACTCAAACTGATATGAAATTTATATCAAGACACGAAAACCACCCCGTACTTGACACAAAATATTAACTAGCACTAATTATAAAATGTTTGTGTCAATTAATTGAACCGCATGCAGTTGGTATCTTATTTGATTTTCACTAACTATCACGCTTGCAAAAACTGTAAGCAGCATAATTTACTTTCAGCAACTTTTCCAGGGGAAAATTTAGCTTTTCTAACCTTTTAATGCTTATATTTAAGCGGCAAACTAAAAAATTTCTTTTTTTATTATCTTGCAAAATTATTCAGAAAATAATTTGCTCTTTAAACGTTTCTTAAACATTAAAAGTTTTAACTTGCATTCGTGCATTCCGACTTTTGACTTCTTCCAAAGCTTCGGCCGTTCGGTCCTTTTCACACACTCGCTTCATCCGACAGCCGGTGTGAAGATAAAAGTGAAAAATTGACCACCCTAATTTAAAAGTCCAAGAGAAGGCCACACAAACGCTCGAGAGATGTCTATCGAGCGCGTCTAAGGTGATTATAAGGGTTAACACACAAACCAAAAGAGATAACTGTACATCTCGCTGGCCGAGAAAAGAAAAACGCATTTGATGTTTTAAAGTACAAGGGGCAGAGAATATCAAAGGGAATATAAACGAGAGAGAGAGAGGGAGGACTGCGTCCACACTGCACAAAAAGGAATAACCTAACAGGCCAGAGGAGATTTCTTTAAAGTGATTTCAAAAGATGCAACATGTGGATAAGAGGAGGCTTGGAATTTTTCATCCCCGAGAGCCACGCAACGGCACATAAGGGCGAGGGGGAGCTGTAGCGGATCTGTTGAATAAAATATAAATTGAGAAGAAAAGGACATTCCAGCTAGTGAGTGGGCATTGCGTTTCAGCTTCACAAAGTTGTTGCGTGGGTATATCAACTTGAGAAGATGCAGCTCCCATCAGATTGACCTACCCCAGGCCATGTGATGTTGGCCGAGTCCTTTTTTCAAGAGAGAGGAAAAGACGTAAAAACGCGATGCTCTCTCTTGAGACGAGAGTGAAACAGCACTTGGGCCAAAACATGCACTCAAATAATGCAGTTTGGGACGCTTCAGAAGTATCTCAAGTGGAAAAAAGTGCATCCTGATGTATTGGGGGTGCCACGAAAAACTGCACACAAAATAGCAACAGGAATGTTGAAGAAATTTTTTTTTTATAAATTTGAATAAAGAAAGTATAAATTAAGAATTGTTAATAAAACAAACATATTTGTTTGAAGAAGTTGACACTCGAGGAGATGATCATGGAAATTAAGCGATCGGGCTTTTCCTTGTTGCAGAAAATTTGACCGAAACGGATAGAGCCATTTGTTTCTGCCACGAGGAAAAGCCCAATCGCTTCATTTTCAAAAACAAACATAATTTAAAAATATATGTAGCAATTTATAGTAATACCAAAATTGTATACAATATATTTTTAATTTATTTTAAAAATTATTAAAATATTAACTATATTTTCTGTTAATTTTGATTTAAAAGCAACCTTTACCAATTTAGTGGTTAATTATCTTGGAAACTTGACAATTATTCATTTTCTTTAATACAAAGTTTAATATATAAACAATCTTGATCAAACTCACAATTATCGTGCTAATATTTGTAAACTCAATATTGATGGTTACTATTATTCTTTGGCTCTCTAAAGCTGTAATAACTATAATTGAAAATCAAAATGCATTATTTTAATAGCGATTAAAACCAAAGATTTAATGAAAGTTTCCTGTATGTGCTAATCTCCGCATCTGCGACAAAATATTTCACAACTATCATGATTCAACCACACAAAATACGTTATATTTTTTTCAGGCGAATTAACCCAATTTCCTTACGAAATCCTTTCATCCAAAAGTTTTATCATAAATTGGTTAATTGATCACGTCTTGACTTTACAATACAATATTATGAATGTGATAAAAGCAGACAAACGCAGCTGCGACCCTTTTTTTTTGCTAAGGGGCAATCCACACTGTATATGACGATTTTCTTGAAGAAAAAAATACGGCTTTAAGGACGCACTCACTTTTTGTGCATAGCCGCGGCTTTTATGCGACAAGACAAATGGCTGACAAGTGTTTGGCTTAAATAAAAGTAGAGCGTGTGTGCGTCTCTGTCTGTCTGTCTATATATTTTATGCGCGCTCACTCGCCGCCGACGCAGAGACCAAAACAGCCCTCATGTGTTGTGCAGCAACAAACAAACACAACTCACCCCCGCTTTGACTTTTTCAGCGCCTCCATATATATGCACCCCCGTCATGCATTTGTGTGCCGCGCGTTTCCATAAAGAGATGCAACGCACTGCATAGTGAATAAATGCGCGTAACCACAAAACGCGTGTTCGCCGGCACAGCCATCCTCTGAGGGGCGCCCTCGTAAAACGTGCGGCTGTCACCTTAAAATAAAACGGGGCAGGTGCCGATGATTTCACCCTTAAACTACCCTCTAGCTGTTGGTTGCTCTTAACATAAAAGTGTATTTTATTTATAAATTTATTTTTTTATAAAATTTAATTTATTAATATAATAATTTCAATTTTGTTTTCAAATACATTTCTTTCGCTGTAGCTTGAAATTGAAAAATTGAAAGATGGATTTATTTCACAATTATATTTTATGACAGTATATTTTCATTTTGCATAATTGTAAAATATTCGAGATTAACAATTCAGGTAAGGAAATTTAAAATCAAGTTTGATAAAATAAAAACTATAATTGTAAACAAATTTTTGGGTCTAGAGAAGAGATTCTTGTAGTATTGAGATTACAGAATATACATTTTAGATTCGCATACTCTGTTTGGATGCCCTCCGTGCCAGAATGAATGTTAGAACTCCAACAATAAACTGAAATTTTATCAATTATTCATACATATTTAATTATTTAAATCACATCAACCTGTATGAAAGCCATCGCTGCCGCAAGACCTGCCACTCCCGCCGCCAAGTCAAATGTTAGCCACTGAATAGTGGAAAGACATCCTACTTCATAATTCGGTCCAGATTTGCAGTTTTCGTCAAGCCCCATCTTACACGAACACGAACTTGGAATTGTGCCAGGCATTCCATTCCTGTTTTTTAACCAATCACTGGAACCAGAAATTCCGCAACAGGAGAGCTTGAAAAATTAAAATAATTATAAATAAAACGATGTAAATCTTTTTGAAAATTATAATTATACCGTGTTTTGCATTCGATCCCAAGAATTTCTGGCGAACGTCATTTCATCAATATTAGCAAAGGTGTGGTCCATCCAGCTCTTCACTTCTGACACAAGCATGAAATGGAACGACATGCTGAATCCTGCTATTTGCAAGACGAAATTTGCAAATGTGATTACGCCGCACTATTATTGAAAAAATTAAAAATACTTAAATTTATAATAACTATATAAAATTTATTTTTACCAAATACAGAATCCAACCTATGTCCTTATTTGCTGAATAAATGCTGAAAACTGCACAAACAATTACCAAAACGCCAGACGTCATCAGTACAATTTCAGCCGATGCACTCTGAAGTTGGATAAAATTAGAACAAATTCTTTTAAAAAGGAATCTTTTACTTTGAGTGAGGAGAGCAGATCAACTCGGTAAACCTTTCCATAAATCACAGCTGCGATAACGATCTCTATTATCGCACTTGCCTGATAAAAGAACGGAAGAAAAATCAGAAATAGATAATTATTATCTTAAGGCTCACCAGTAGCAAAATATTCAACGCGTGGAACGTGTTTTTTAAATGATTCGAGGCCATTCTCCTTTTCCGAAATGCACTTATCCAGCTGCTGCTCTACACTGAAATGAGATTTTTCTAGCTGTGCTGAATTATATATTTAATATCAAGACAAGCCTAGTTCGCTTATCTTGGTATACACATGGCGTCACTGCAATGCAACTGTGCAATATAATTTGGAGGAAAGATAAGGAGCTCATATGATGAGTGTTAACTGCAGCTTTTCCTTTTAGTGAGTCATGCATTTTTTCATACACAAATAATTTCCCTGTCTATGTAATTGTGAATATTAATGAAAACGATTTGTTGAAAAAAAAAATCAAATTTTAATTGCAAAATTTCTTGTCTACGCTACACATTAGCACCACTCTTCTTTGATGCCCTGCAAGCCAGAATGAAAGTAATAATCCCAACAATGAACTGAAAACAAAATAATTACTTCTTTTTCATATATTTTTTGCATTTTTTGAATGTTTGATACCTGAAGGACAGCCATCGCAGCTGCTAAAGCGGCCACAGTTGGGGACAAGTCATATACATGATATAACATAGTCGAAAGGCATCCAACTTCAAAATACGGTCCAGATTTGCAGTTATCGTCAATTCCGTTTTCACAGTTACATGAAATTGGAATAGGACCATTTACGTTGAACAACCAATCATCAGGACGAAACTCTCCACAACATGACAACTATTAAAGTATATTCATGAATACGAAGAAAAAAAATCTTATTACTGCGGTCTGCATTTGATCCCAGGCATTTTTTGCGAACGTCTCTTTATAGTAGTTGGCAATTGTGTACTCCATCCAATGCTGCACCTCAGAAGTAATCCAAGAGATGAAGATTGTGCTAAATCCTGCGATTTGCACAGCAAAATTGGCAAACGTGATCAACCCACACTAATAATTTCCGTTATTAAACCGTTCAATTATTAAATTATAATACCAAGTGAAGAATCCAACTGATGTTCTTTTGTGTGGCAAAACTGCTGACAATTGCACACAAAATTACCACAACACCTGACGACATTAGAAAAATTTGGCCTGATGCACCCTAAATTATTAAAATATAGCAAAGCTATTGATATTATTATATAGGAAAATTACACTGAGGGAGGAGAGCAAGTCAACTGCATACACTTTTTTGTAAATCACGGCTGCCATGACAATCTCTGCTATCGCACTTGCCTAATGAAACAATTAACATCAGTGATTTGATGAAATTAACAGTTCAGCTTACCAGAAGCAAAATATTCAGGACGTGGAAGGTTTTCTGCAACTTAGTTGTGGCCATTTTTTCCAGCTTTTGGTTGTCAATAGCTAGCTTCTCCGTGCACTTTTCACGTGTGAATGAATACTATGATTTGTTTATTTCATGGCGTGAAAGGAAACCTAAAGCTTATCTTGCCCCGAGTTCTGCTTATATGGCGTCAGTACAATATACAACTCACTCAAGCTAACAATGCGGTCGTGGAAAGATAAGAAAGTGAGTCTTACTTTTACAACTCTTTCTCTAGAAACAAATGTGCCAAAATGACTCATCGGAAGCCTTATTAAATAATTAACAAGCAAAATATTTCAATTTCAATAGTAATAAATAAAAAGTAAAAACAAGGAGCTCAATTATGAATGCTTTTTTTATTTGCATATAGCAAACCAAATTAATTTAATGGTGAATGATTTTATATAAAGTACAATAAAATGTTTTGTGAGAGGTAGTGATTTCCTGATGGCTTGCTCACACTTTCATCGAAGTGCCTGACGCACTTTTCGCCAACTTCAGAGAAATACCGCAGGCGAATAACTATTAAAAAATTATCACTTCTTAGTATATAAAGACAGTTCAGTTTACCTGTAATATGGCCATTGCGACAGAAAGACCAGCGACTCCAAGTGTTAGATGATAGACGAACCATGCCATGACCGAGTAACAACCAACGTCGTAAATATAAGTATTGAAAAAAAACGAGCTGCAGTTTGGATCACCCTGAGTGCACTTGCAGGAATTTGGTATTGCGTTAGCATTTCCCCATTCGAGGAGTGAAATGACTCCGCAGCACGATAACTAGGAATAAAAATGTTTTATAAAAATTGGTAACTCAATAAACTTCAGCAAACCTCTTTCTGCGTGTCGTCCCAGATTCTTTTGGCATCCGCATTATTGTTGTACTTGACGAGCAAGTTATACATGTGCACAGGTGACTCACTATTGGTCACAGAATTAAATGCGACGCTGAAACCGGCTATTTGCAGAATAAAATTGACCAGGGTCAATCCAGCGAACTGAGAGAGACAAATCAATAATTGAAATAACCTTTAAGAATGAGAAATTTTTACAATTAAAAGTGGAATCTTCATATTTTTCTTGGCGCCAAAAGCTCCAATTCCAGTGCAGATGATGACGATGATGGCACTCGTCATCAAAACAATCATTCCAGATCCGTTCTATGAAAATTGATTAATATTATTTTTACGCTTTTCTGAAATTCACCTCCAATGGTGCAAACATCTCCCTTGAATAGGCGCTCCCATAAACCACTGCAGCGATAACAAGCTCAATGATGGCGCAGATCTGTTATTTTTGTGTTAATTTAGTACATAATTATTTTTTGCAAAAACTCACAAATAAAATGGCGAGGAGGGCAAAAAGCCCTTTTGTCATCATGTCCTTTAGATTCATCGTGGAGCGCAGAAAGAATTTCGTCCGCCTTGAGACGCTGTGCTTGGAGGTTTGTGCGTCTCAAGAATTTTATACGCCCTAACTTATCTGCTCAAGTTAAGCCGTCAACGCGTGGTTCTTAGGTAACTGGACAAATTCAGGGAGGACGCAGATAAGGCGAGAAGGGATTAATGTGTGCTCGGCAAATACCACAAAAACCATCTTGAGTCATATTTTTGGCATTTCTGAGCTAATCCAACATTATATGCGCTCAAGCCTTGAGAGTTGCCACGAGCGCCAAAAAATAAATCTCAAAATGCTGTGCAACTTTCATGTTCTTTGAAAGTACCGCACCACGCTTTTTAATCCATTTGGGCCAAAACGTTTGTCGGCGATTTTTAAGTGAAATTGACACCTTAAGTGCCAGCGACGCTTTTGTGTGTATTTTTAAAAAGAAGCACAGAGTGCGAAGCTGCTGTCAACAAGCTGGAGATGCATCGCAGTGCCACTCGAAGTGAGCGGACGTAGCATAAAAAAATGAGTGTCATATTTTTTGTCAGTAGCAAAAAGTTAAAGAATACCATATTTGAAAAGATTAGAGGCTATCAGATAATTTAAATGAATTTAATTATTTCAATTTGCAATTATATGCAATGCGAGAGTTTCAAAAGCTTTGAAACTGCACATTTTTTTTATTAATTAAGGCGATAGCGTTTGAATCAATGTTCAAATGTAAACGTTTTTTTTTAATAAGAAAGAATTGAGATGTCACAGTACTTATTTTAGAAAAAAATTTATATTTTATTAATTCTTTAATTTTTATCTTATTTTATGACACATTTTTTAGAGCACAGTTGGTAGAGTTCACTTGAAGCAAAGTCAATAAGAGGAAAAAAAATCATTTTCTAAAATTGTTTTCGAAAATAAATTAATACAATGAAATTTACAAAAACAAAATTAAGTTTGCTGACGACATTCAAATAACCCTTTTATAAATTTTTACTCCAAAGAAGCCTTTTTTAAACCATCATTAAAATAAACCCCTCGAGAATAATTTATTAAAAGCTCGTATATTTAGTTTTATTTTACAGCCGGGGCGCGCCGGCCGTCGGAAAGGTTGTGGCTAAGCATATAATTTTGAGGCGCCCAGAGCTACAGACTGACAGAAATGAGCTTCCACACTTCTTCTTCGGTCTTTTCATATTATATGGTTTTTCTCAACCTCTTTTCCCAATTCAGCGGCGTCTTTTTTTTCTCGGACAGACGCGATTTTATATCAAAATCTGTTGTATATTTCATGAAGTTCTCGGATAAAAGGATCTTTATCCGGTTCGCTCCTCTATAATCACTGCAGCTCTCTCTCCCGGCCAGTTTTTTCAGCATCTCCCACGACCTTTTCAAAAGAGAGCTCCTTCTTCTCCAGCCGCTTTGGCGATTGCAAAAGTCTCATGTGACCTGTTTGTTGTGTGAGCCGGTAAAAAATTCTAATTCAAGGCCCATCTGATCTTTGGCTATTGAGAAAAACCCTCTCCTGCTCACGCAGCAGCAGACAATTTCCTTTCATCCCCGCATCCCCTTCTTATTTTTTTACCCTTGTCTTTTGACAATGTCCAAATTTTTTATGCCACCAGTCCACCTTTTGGCTAACGTGTCCTACCCCAAGCGCGGCATTCCCCGATGCTTCGCCAGCCCCTTTGATATAAAACCTTCTGTTAAAAAATGATGCAAGAAAAGAGAGGAGCCTTCCTTAAACCCCCTGTATAGCTGCTTTTGATCGAGAGAGAGATGAAAAAAGTACCCATCCGTGAAAGGAAGGTAAAAAACTGTAGGTAGGGGTGAGAGAGAGAACGGCCTCTAAAAAATGTTTTATATAAAAAGTGATTGGGGTAAAGAGCGCGCAGATGCTGTTGCTGCCGCTGCTTTTAGCGGTCACCCGCTGTGGGTCACAAGAAAAAAATTCGCTTCGGACAAAGGAGAGTTGAGCGGTGGATTATATAAGAAAGAGGCCTAAAGGCTTCATTGAGGAGGCGGATGTTAAAATTTACTTATAATATATTAGTTAAAATTTTAAATTATCATTTATCTTGTTTCTTAAAATTTCTATTATTCATTTTTAATAATTTTATAAATAATAAATTTTTTTTATTGTTAGTAATTAGTTAATTTATTTTGAATATATAGAGTTATGAAAAATAATTGTACTTAATTATCACAAGGATTAGTGATTTCTTGTACGGCACTAAAATAATAAATTATTCATAGTGATGTAATTATTACCATCTCCTAAAGATTTAGATCAATTCAATAGTTGGCTTTCTCATATAGCTTTATCATTCAAATATAAAAAATTTCATTTTTTTTTTTAAAAATTGAAAATTATAATAAAAAATTATTAAGAATGACCAAAATCCTTGAAAGAAAATTAAATTAAATCCACATTTTATCAATAATTTAAGATAATCAACAGACAGTAAGATTTTGATATATCAGTTATAATATAACAACACTTGATTTTTTGATCATTTGAATAGATAAAGACATTGATTGAAGAATAAAAAAGTTATAGGATAAGTAAAACTGATAATCCTTTAAGGTTAGGAATCTGCGAAAGAGTACTCTGGGGACGTTTTATAAATACTCATTTATCAGTTTTATTTATACTCTGCGCGCTAATTTCAACGGTCTAGCTTTTATTCTGTTTTTTTTTCCAATTCGGTCCTATCACAATTGCCTTGGTCGGGAACATGAGAAAGGTGTTAAATTATTGATGGTGCAGCGCAGAGCAAAAGGGGCCCGTGTAAAAGGATAAGACGCGAAAAGGTTCGTGCTGGTTGTTCAACAAAAGGTGATTTCGCGTGCAAGTCCATTAAAGGCATACAAGAGATGCATTAAAAAATTAATGATTTTCTCCCGCGCGCAGCTTGCATCGGCAAGAGAGAAAGAAATTATTTATCCCTTAATAATTTTTCCCGAGTGTTGCAGCCGCTGCTGGGCGGACAAATGCATCGCGCCTCTAATAAGCCAGCGGCCCACTCGATCAAAAGGGTCGCAAATTAATCAACAAGCTGCGTGCCGAACTCAAGCACCTCACGCTCAGGCGCTAATTAGAAATTTTCACGCATATGCCGAGACCATAGCTTGAGGTGACTTAACTTGCAGTATGATATGTAGTAGGGAAAATTAATTATGGCAAGTACTTAAAAGCAATTACCTGCAATTAAAACAGCAAGACGAAATACACAAATACATTGTTGAATTTTAAAATAAAATTTAATTTTTAATTAATTTTTAATACATTTCTGGGCAGGGAAAATTAATAGAGGAATAATATGAAAAACTGCCAATAGAAGTCTACTTATTACTTATTATTACTTTATTTTACTTCATAGACTTAGTATCAGGAAAAATCTAGCATTTAATTTACTGGAATTTAATTATTTTTGGTCCACAAAATGATTGACAAAAGGAAGAGGAATTCCAAAAGAAAAAGGAAAATAATTAGTAATCTAAAGTAGGAGTTAATTTATTTTGATAACTTTTGTGAAAAGAAAAGAAATTAAAGTTATAATTTTTAAATGACAATTATTTTAATACAAATATAATATTGTAAATTATTTTATTAAAATATTATTTGCTTTCAAGTTATTTTACTGTTTTTTATATTTAATAATATAAAATGGTTATTTATTACAAATGATTTATTCTTCTAATTTTAATAACTGTTTTTTGTTTATTTTATTTATTTATTTATTGAAAACAAATAATTAATTCAATATAATATAATATTATTTTCAATTTATATCCTCCATCAAATAATTTGAAAATTTAATTTGCAAAGCGTTTTTCACTAAGATTAAAGTCAATTTAAGCCTGATTAGTTTATTATATATTATTCCAATAATATTCATGAAGTCTTTCTTTCTCATTATCAAAGTCCTAAATAGCTCTGACGTCAATGACGTTTTTGTTTCGGATGCTGTGCGTGGTCCATATCCAGAGCTATAATTTCATCTCTTATTTTCCTGCATCCCTCTGCGTTTTTTTCCTTAAGGTCCTACGTAATGCTCGGTCGTGTGACGCACTCGAATTTTAGTGAGAGATTAAAACGAGTGCACGTACGCATATAGTCGCAGCTTTGTGACATATTATACAATGTGTGCAGATGATAATTTTTATGATCGAGAGACGTACTGATTCACGCACACAGCGCATTCACCACGGTTATCGAAATAGGAAGGAAACTGTAAATCAGTGTTGGAGATAAGTTTCGAACAATGTCGTGTCTGCTCAATTTTTTAGGAGAAAAACGGCCGTCTTTTTTATACAATAATTCAAATTTGCTGAGAAAAAACTTGATTTTTTGCATTAAAAAAGAAAATCTGTTTATGTCCTTTTGAATATTTTTTGGAATATTCTTTGCATTATCAAGAATAAGCTTCCGAAACTTTCTCACGCATTTTTTTTTCATCGCCGTGCATGGACGAAAAAGAGGGATGCGTTTTTTATGCATTCATCTCTGTTCGCATCAATCGGACGCCGCATGTGATGCACGGCAGAGATTTTTTTATACTTTTTAAAAAAAGCGGACTTGTTGCTTGGAAAAAAACCGCAGGAGCTTCCCCTTGACCAATCACGCCATCATCATCAGCAGGTAAGGTGGAAAAAATCGGAGGGTTGCTTTTGATGCTGCCTCTTCTCATCATCTCCGAGGTTAAGGTTCGGACACGCAATATAAATACACAGCAAGGCAGAAAGCAAACGGGGAGGGCTATAACTGTAAAATTCTATTGATTGCGATGAATTGCAACGGCATGAGGATGCACTTTTGGGAAATCCTAAATTAATTGTATGGTAGCATTGTGGCTACTGCAACTTATTTTTTTATACAATTAAATCTGTGATGTAAAAAAAATTATGGAAAGAAAATATAAATATTTTATAAAATATGTATAAATATGTAATAATTTCATTGTTAATTTCAAATTATTATAAAATAATTGTTTATATTTATTATTGAAAATTTGGCCACAATCTGACCAACTGCGGTTTTAAAAATAACAAACGATCAAGACAAAATATGTGTTAACACTTTAAT